ATCTACCTCTTTAGTATTTTCTTCTCTATTATCTTTGCAGATTCTTCCTCCTCTCTTGATATATTAAGTATTAGTATCTTCGAATGTGGATTTTTAGTACTCTTCTCCCATGGTGCTGTCTCTCCCTGGCCAAGCAAGCTCATCCACACCAATGGCCTCATTTACCATTAATACTCAGATTACTTACCTCTGCAAATCTAGTCCAGACTTTGTATTTGTCCTCTAGACTTGTGTATTTTACTACTTACATACCATGGCTTATGGGAAATCTTGAAAGCAAGTCAAATTCAGGTGGTTCACAAATGTAGCCATAATCTTTTCCTGACATGTAGCCTTGTTCTAAAATTCCCAGCCTAGGGAATGGCCTAGTCATCCATCCTGTTACTTGAGCTAGAATCTTGTGTCATCCTTGACAGCCCCCTTTCCTCTCTTCTCCATCCACATCCAATCCAATTCCAAATTATGTCAAACTCATCTCCTAAATGTCCTTCAAGTAGATCCACATCTCTCCAGCTTCATTATCTCAGCTGCCATCAAACTATATTACATCAAATTATCGTCATTAGTCTCCTGTACAGTAACTTTCTCTCTGCTCTACTAAGAAACTTACTCCTATCCTATTATTTTCTATATTGTAGCTGGACTAATCTTTTCAAAATGCAAAGCCAATCACAATACCACCTGCTTAAAATCCATCAATGGCTAATTTTTGATTCTAGGATGAAAAGAAATTCTATAACATGACTTCAAAGGCTCTGCATGCCCTCCTCTTTCTCTAGTCCTCTCTAGTCTTTTCCTGGATGGTCTCCACTCCAGCCTTACTGACTTCTTTCTGGAATCAGTGTCACCCACAACCCTTCATGCCCCTGAGCTTTTACACGTGGTATTCTGATATTTCCTCTGCCAGAAATGCTACTTTTTCTCTCTTTTTGCCTAATTAATTATTGTTTATTTCTTAGAACTCAGCTCAAGCATTATTTCTTTAGGGAAACTTCCTCTGACCTCTTGACTTTGTCCTTTTTGCAATGTTCCATTGTTTCTATGATTATTTGATTAATAATTATCTTTAAGCTCTGTGAGAGCTGTCAGCAATGTTGATTTGTTCATTCTTGTATTCCTTGTGTCTAATAATTTGCTTTACATCTAGTAGTTATTCAATACATATTTGTTGAATAAAGACTCATTATCTTTTCTTTTTTGCAGGACTGCCATTTTCATTAAGAACTACCACTTAGAGGTACCAAAGTAAAGGATATTTGCTAACTTTAATACTTGCCAGTTCAGGTTGGAGGCACAGGCAGCAGCAAGAATGGGTAATTTTCCACTTAAAATATTTATAGATTATAAAACAATGTTACTCTGTAAACTACATAGATCTAATGGAATTAAAATAACCACATTACTGTTTTACTTTCTTGAACAATAACTAAATGATAGCGCCTGTAAAAAGGACCAATTGAAAAATAACCCATTCTCTTTCTCTTTTTTTTTTTAAATTTAGAAAGAAATGTTCTTACAACATTTTCACAGCAAATGTCCAAGTTAATTTTGAATGAAATGCCAAAAGCTGAGTGAGTATTACTACAGTAATAAAGATGGGAAATCATATATCATGTTCCCTGTATGTCTATTTGGCCTTATACTGATGTACAGACAGTTGACCATTGAACAATGTAGGGGTTAAGGGCACTGAACAACTATAGCAGTTGAGAATCCATGTTTAACTTTTAAAAAATTATTGTTAATTAATTTATTTTATATATTTTTTTTCTAAATTCATGCCAGACAGATAATGAGATAACTTTGTAACAAGGGTTGAGTAGGGCACATCCAACACATACACATGAAAACCCAATCATCACATTTATGAACTG